TTCGTTAAAGAAGGCAGTTTTATTCGTGCAATGTTTGTGTGGACAACAAACCTTATCGTTAAAAAATGCTTCCTTCCACGTCCTAAGAGTCGCCAGTTTAATTTACAAGTTTCACGCCGCTTTTTTATATCCTGTTTATAACTTTATATTCAAGATTATGTAGAAATTTACTTGCTGACGTGACGCCAGCGCCATTTTTTTTACAAGATTCCGCAGGCCCTCGCCAGATCGTGACCTTCCCATGACGCAACGAGGGCCTGCGGAGGAGGCAGAATCTGACGTCTGTGATGACAAAAACGTCGCTTGTTTAAAAGAAAGATAATGTGCGTTTTTGGACTCGTTCTAAGTTCTTCTGAAGACACTCTGGGCATGAAATAGCTGTGCTCCATAATTCTAGCTAGAACAGGTCGGATACAGGCACAATAAGAGTTAATGATACCAGTCACATGAACGTTTGTCCGCTTCAGTTGAACAAGGAAAAAATAGGCGTTTGTTGGCTTTTTTGATTAAGGCTGCTCTCCAGTCACGCGTTTTTCATACGTGCGTATACGCACGTAAAAGTTTAAATCTTTTTAAATTTAACACTAGCATGAATTACCTGCACAAATGCACATTAAATCATGCACAAAACTATATGCTTTCCTTTTATTCATTCAGTTATTTCATAAGTAACATTTCTGAGACACTAAATCTCGTAGAGGAATACTCATGCCCATGTACACTAGAAATGTGTACCACAAACAGGATCGAAGTATACTTCCGTGCGTATACGCACGTATGAAAAACGCGTGACTGGAGAGCAGCCTTTACGTTGTGAAGAGTTCCTAGACACGACTTCTGAGATAGACGTATCGTCAACGAATTTCCAGCTAGGCAAATCTATCACTAGCTTTAAGATTATTTATCATGAATAGAAAAGCCAAGGGCCCAATTTAGTTCCTTGTGGCACACTTGCAGAAACTTGAACTCATTCAGGGTAGCAGTTATTAGAAAGTTTCACTCTTTTAAAACGACCGTTCCATGAGAAAATCAGCGACTCGTATAGAAAAAGTTATCTAGGAATAGCTAATTCGCGGAGTTTTTCCAAAAGGATGTAGTGGCCGATCAGTTCAAAAGCCTTCCTGTAATCAAAAAGGATTACTGCGCCCACTGATGTATCATGGAGACAAGTGCATGCATGAATCGTTGAGGATTTTGGGATAGCTCCATATTGATCAGGATGATAACTTATTAAAAAAAAGCACTGCTGGTTGCTTTTGACACCACAAACTCTTCAGCAACCTTGGAAACGGTGGGAGTCAAGTGTTAATAATGGTAACAAGCTTCTGTTTAAGAACTGGTGTGACATTGGCAAATTTCCAAGCGGATGGAAGCTTCTGTTGGAGAAGAGAACTGTTGGGAATAAAAATGTTCAAGAAATGAAAGGAAAGATTAAGACAGAGTATTGCAGGAGTCAGAAAAGTGTTCCAGTCAAGGCGATTAACACTTATAAGAATGAAGTTAAGTGAGATATATTGTAAAACCAGACAGATTATATACGAGTATGAATAATATTTAAATACTTATATCAGTAGTCGTGAAGGATTGTTACTTGTTAGTAGTAGCAACGGAGGGTGTAGGCGTGTAGCCACATTTAAGAAGAGGTGTAGACATAAAAGGTTTAGAAAACTCAGAGAGAGAGAGTGTATTCAGGGATATTTTCAAGCACTTTAGTCTACTACCGTTTTTCAGAAGATTGAGTTTCTTTTGGCGGGAGGACTTTAAAATATTTTGTGGTCAGGGGCGCACATTCCAAAATATTTTGGAGAGGTGTAAAATACGTCGGGATCGATTTTTTAGTTTTTACATGTTTACATTTTGGAAGGGGGAGTTTTTGAAACTTTGAAGTCTCTAGATCGTCGGAAATGGCATTTTCAGACTCTCTTTTGGGCATCAGCTGCCTATAGAGCACAGAACGAAAGTTGATTCAGACAGTGTATAATGGCAATTAGCAATTCTGTAACCTTACTAATTAATTTGGACACTGTACAAAAAATAGATCTCACGGAAACAAGAATTTTGCGTAATGCCTATCGGACGATCGGGACCGACAAATGGTTCATTTGGGACCGACGTTTTGGACTATTTCTCAAAATTAAGGGGTGTCACACCCCTTCACACTTCGATCCTGTTTGTGGTACACATTTCTAGTGTGCATGGGCATGAGTATTCCATTTTGTGTCTCAGAAGTGACACAGTTTTCGATAGGTTCTTGAACAAAATTGTATAGAAAACAGGTTTTTAATGGAACATTGACATTAAAAAAATCAAATTGTTAAAAAAAAATCATTGTGGAGGAAAATTGAGTTTCAAAACTCAATTGAAGATTGAGTATTTACTATCGTATACCGGTAGTAGAAAAGTGCTTGAAAATATCCCTGTGTATTGCATAGACTGAAGAAGTAGCTAGTGTTGTCAGTTGAAACGTGGATATAGTTGAGGCATGGAGAAAGATTAGTTTTAGCAGCTCAGGATCAGCTAACGAGTAGCGAAATTAGTGCTAAAGTAGATATCACAGTCAGGCAGATTCTGTTTGTAGATTATGTAAAAAAGTAGATGAGACAATTAGTCATGTGATGTGTGAATGTGAAAAGAGTATAACTAGAAGGCATTAAAATATAGATTAAAGTGTGTATCCAAGTGGTACGAGCATACACCAGAACAATAGGAAAATATGGATTCTCTGGGATTTTACAGTCCAGACAGATCATATTATTCAGTAAGCTTCAGTAGTGGATAAAACGTATGTTAGAAGAGTGTTGCAATCCCAGGTGATAGATTAGAAGAATTGTAGAAAAGGAACAGGAAAACATTTGAGAAGTATAGGATCTTGCTAGAGAAATTCGAACATTATGGAGAGTGAAAACTATGGTAAAAGGAACTTTAGGTAAAAAGATTCGAAGGTTTTTAAGTGAGATAGGCGTAGGAACCTTTAGGAATGAACTTCTCAAATCTCTATCTTCATAATACTCATACAGTATATTTAAAATATAACTTACTAACTCTTTGTATCCTTGTAAATATGTATAGCATCATGTATCCTATAGTTTAATAATTTTTCTGGTATATCATATATATACATATACCAATATGTAAATACTGCATGCATATAATTATATATACTATTGTATACTATTGTATACTGTATTTTAATGTTTTGCAGGAACCATCTGAAAAAGCACTGCTTGTGATGTTGGTTTCCTGAATAAATATTATTATCATTCAATGTGGAATCAGTGTTGCTTGCTGCAGCTATAGGATTCTCAGAAAGGTCTTGGAAATCTATTACGGATTTCACCAAACTGTGGTGTGGTATCAAAAATTCGTATCACTACCACTCCCACAAATGTCTATAACCACACCCACATAATTTTGAAATGTTTACAATCAGTCTAGTTTTAAACCGCCAATTGTTACCAGGAACTGGATTGGCTGTTTAAAATTAGAATTGCAAACTTGCAAAAATATGTAGGAGTGGCCACAGACGTTTGTGGGTGTGACGGCGATATGATTTTTTGCTGCAATGCCACAGTTCGGTGAGATCCGTAATAGGGAGACTTGTTGTTTCCCGGATTCTAAGTTATCCGAGTGCACTAGACAGTCGAACTTGTAGCTAATAACTAGAGGGCACTCAAAGACTTGCATGGCTCCACCCGTGAATTAAGTCAAGTACCATGAATAAATTATACAATGGGCTAATTACGTATTCAGTTTTCTCTGCCCGACAGAGCAAGACATATAGGTTTGCCAATTTCTCACTCAGTTTTCATTTAGATTGAATCAAAATATAATCGAGTAAATATAATTTGTCCTTGGTCTATTACCATTAACCTACAAATTTTCGTAATTAATACGTTTAATATTTTTTGAGTTATCGTGTTAACAGACAAACACACACACCCACCCCAGTTGAAAACATGCGGAGGTAATAATACCGCTCTATAGACTATACTAAATTAATTTTAAAAATGGCTAGAGGCCAACCAGAAACCTTAACAGACTTTTATTTAAATTAAGACCCCTAGTTACACCTTGTTCCGAGGTTTCCTGGTAGGCACGCGATTTAGAGGTATTTCGTGTACTATATACAAACTGTTTTCAGAGCGGACGGAAATGTATTGACGTCGGCAAGCATATATAGGCTTTCCACCATAGCGGTGGAGCTCGCATATTCGATTCTATTCTATTCTAAAAATGTTAGGAATTTAGTTCCTCCCACAATGTCAAGTCATTAAATTGCTTCTTTTTATATATTAAACCTCAGAAAATCCTAACACTTACGCCTTATAATAAAGTCAATTTGTAGTAAATAATTCGCATGAGAAATGTAAAGAAGGAAATTTTTTCACACTGTGGATTGAGGAATATCCGAACTTACAAATGATAAATTTTATATTAACACTAATGAGGCTAATCGTAGTAAATTATTTGGAAAAATTCCCGTTGTTTTGACTAACTTTTACAAAATAGTCATCTAAAAACACCACAGGCTTCGTTATAAGACCAATAGCAATATTCATTAACTAAATTATACTGTTGTTTTGGTCAACTTGCAAAACAAAACAGATCTAATATTGGTAAAAGTATAAGGGTGTATTTTTAAAAGGAACATAACACAAAGATATTTTTGAAAAGCGAGAAACAACTTTTCCTATTGGCCGTGGATAGCGGAAGTGACGCCAATTGACGTAAATATCCCACGCAAAACACTCGGATTTAACCTTTGTCCTATTTAGCACTCTGGTGCTGAGGACATGCAATGACATTTAATACGCATGATTATAGGTTTCCCTATTCGACAAAAACTCCAGCTGGTTAAAGAAAAAATGTCGGAGAGCAAAAGATCACGCTTGATCATGTTTTAATCATGATGATCAGGCAAATGTGTCTCTCAGCTCTCTGATTGGTCGCCTTTCTATGAAATAAACATGGCGCACACATTTGCATATTTCGAAACAAATGGCGAGCGAGAATATTATTTCCTAGCAGGAAAGAAAACGGAATAATGGTTTCGTTAAAAAAGAAATCGTTCGACCTGCCGACTGATGGCACCACAGAATACGCCAATTATTCCAGCGACTCGGAATCCGACGAATCACCGAAATTTTATCGACACCGAAAGCTTACAGCCGAGAAAATGAAGTCAAAGGTACATGTAGTATGAATTTATGTATATATACGGCAATAGTACAATACAATTATATTGAAAGCAGGTTATCAATGCTGTCCTATTTAGGCGAATACTCAATCTCAACAGTTTCCTTATATGTTTTACTGATTTCTGTCAACACTACAAGTTTTATATGCCCGATCATACAAGCTTCCAAGTTGACCTGCGAACGGAGCAAATACAATATGCTACAAAGAGCATCAAAGAATTTTCAACTGCGGACAATAATCCCTAATATTATACTGAAAGTTTTAAATATGCCAGGCTTATTTCGACACATACCGACAACAATAAATTTTATTACCCTGCAAGATATGTCGCAATATAAAACACTGTGTCATTTATTATTTGGTAACCGATTTCCCGTAGTAAATTTTACCCGATTTTACAAACGTAACAGGGCTTTTAAATGCCTGTTTGTTATGTCTATACTATAGTAACTAGTTTAGTTATAATATAGACGAGATCCGTATCAAAGAAAAACAATGGATATATACTATATAGCATTCAGCAACTGCTTGTTTTTAACCGTATGTATGTTTATAATAATAGAACAGGGCAGTAGGCAATGAAAGAGGTGATCTTTATGGCTTGTTATTAAACGCAAAATATATGAGGTTATTAGGTGATTAAGTGAGGGGCAAATCGAATATGGGAAGAATTATCGCGCGAAATTTGACGAAAAATGCGTTCTCATGGTAAACAGGCCAGCCTTAGCGACGTCCATATAGCCAATTCATGCGGCCCCTATATTTCCAATATTTTAATATTTACCCGAACTGTGAAATTAATTTTGGTGTATGTTCCTATCTCCACATGATTTTCGTTTATATTTAAACTTGTAAATTTGAACTTGTTGGTTTTTTGCTAAATATGGAGGAAAGCTAAAAGATATCTTTTAGCTCCATACATTATATATTTATACGTTTATATACATATTGTCTGCTCCTACGCATTTTAACAACCACCTGCTTGTGGGCGGACAATTGACTGCTATTCACGAATAATGTCGATTATAGATTGCATGTATTTCTGTATATATATATCACTGGTAAAAGTCATAAAAGTGTGCAGTTCATGAATGCCATTTAGAAAATATAAAAACTGCAGTCTTAACGTATGAATACCTATAATATAAGCAGCAAAGTTTCATATCATATTCTAGATATTAAAATTGACACAGTACAAATATTATATTTATTTAATATAGGGACTTTAATAAGCTTAAATTTTGCTCTTCCTCTCCACAGCGCTATATCAAACAAGGCTTTTTGAATATGAAACAAAAAACTGGATCTTTCCAGGTGAGTTAGCTAGTACTTTCATAAATAATATAGTTTGTGCAGATTTAGATCCAGATACTGTTTGTGTGTGCTTGTCACCTTAACTTGTTAGTAATCTAGATAACTCATCAGTGTGGAAAATTGCTTTGGGCAGACAGATAAAATTTGCATATTTTTAATGAAAAGCTTTATTATTAAGACATATCTTTAATAGCTTTTATTTGGTTTTCACATAAAAAAAATTGTGAAGAAAATTTTTTTTTTAATTTCTAAAAATTTAACTGTTTCTAATAAGGATAAAATGAAGAGAAAAGACAGTGAGAACATTCAGCAAATTTGTCTTAATGTCTCCAAAACTAATATATATTAATTTGAAAGCATATAATTAAAAACTGTTGTCTCTAAGGGCCTGTTTATATGATCCCGGCCAGGCGGGACGGGATGCTCACCGAGATCCCGCTTGTAATACAAATTCTAAAGAGTGTTTATATGATCCTGTCACTTATCCCGCCTAGACGGGATCTTGGCAACAGATGCCGGGATCCCGCCTAAGCGAGATGAAAAATTCTCATATAAACGCTTCATCCCGCCTAGCCAGGACGAAAAATTCCCATGTAAACACTTCATCCCGGCTAGGCGGGATGAACTTTTCCCTTTCGAGCATGCGTAAATGCCTTTATTGCAACAAAAATATGACGTCAAGCACTTAAATGGCTTCATCCCGGTAATGTATTTTGTCCATTTAAACACTAGGCAAGTATCCCGTCTAAGCGGGATGAAAACGTCCCGTCCCGTCTAGGCGGGATCATATAAACATGCCCTAATATTGGTCATTTTAATCAATCCGCTACACCTGTGGCTGTACTGTATTGAATTAGCCATGTGACATTACTATATAAAACTGCTTATTGTCTTAAAAGTTACTTGCATGGATCATTGTGGATGTTATGATTAATGAGAAGAGGGGTGGTAATGTCTTTTTGCCCTGTTTTAGAGATGTAGTCATTAATCTAATTGGCATATATGTATTATATATGATTCAACAAATGATTGCTAAGAAGTGTATGAATAAGCTTGAATTGTTGTAAAAATATGTACAACTCAGGATTCTGTCCAGGACCGGTATCTGCCGATCCTGACACAATACTTTTCTTGGCAGATTTTTTAATCTGAATTGTCATCAAATTACTGGTAGCCAATATAATCAAATATTCAATACATTTTGAGTGCCGGATGGAAAAATCTGCTTTGGTGTGAACGGTGGGTAGCACTGACGATTGTATGTTCATCTAATTTGGAGTATGCCTTATAAAAGACTTTTACTAAGAAGGCAGCAACAATAAAACATGTCAATGAAAGTACTCTCTGTTGACGATCTGCCCCTCCCCTGTGGTTGAACATGCTCTAGGGCATATCTGTGAATTTTTTACTATATTGTGCCAATTAAATCAACTAATGGGTTGGAAATAAATCATGTAGAATTTAATGGCCGCCAACACATTGCATGTTAATTAATGGTTAAAAATTATGCTTCTCAGTAAAGGTCACATTACATGACTATGCAATTTGTTGCTGCAACTTGCAATCAAATTTTGAATACCGAGCCATGTTATCAAAACATTTGTCACAGAGAAATTGTGACCATGGACCTCAATTCTACTCTGTCAACACTTGACTTGCTTGACATACTTTTAAGCAGCTAGTGGTGCCTAAATTACTTTGAATTTGTACTTGAGTAAAAGTTGAAGTAATTAACAATAAAAGGACTTGAGTAAGAGTAAAAAGTACTGCATGGAGGCAAAACATACTTAAGTAAAAAGTACAAAGTATCCCTAAAATATACTTGAAGTAAAAAGTAAAAGTATTTGTCTGTAGCATGTAGGGGGGACTTCTCCGATGGATTGACATACAAAAGACACAAAACAGCACACATTATATGTGTGCAACAGCACACATTATATGTGTGCACCTAATATACAATATTTCACAGCATGGTCTACTTTGCAGACCCCGTTGAAGATATAAGAAATCCATTAAATAAATAATGCTTATAAGTAAGCCACAAACAAGAGATCCCAAATGCATGTAGAGGCCCTATTACTTATCCCAAAATTAAAATAAATCGGGAATAAATCACATAAAATAAAAACAAAAGTTAGAAAGTAACAAAATATAGCTTCACCACAAAATGAAAATGTCGAAGTAAAACGTTACTTCTTAAAATGACTTCGTTCCAAGTAAAGGTACTCCAGAAAAAGTTCACTTTGTTACATGCTGAATTCTCAAAAATAGTACCCAAGTACAGTAACGAAGTACATTTACTTTGTTACTTGACACCACTGCTTTTAAGGAACGAAAAATGAAAGAAATGGGATGAATCTGAAGAATGCATTTCCCAGTGACTACTCTTAGCTAAAATGGTTCTATGACAAGCAAGATGAAACAAAAATTGCCTTGTGTATTATAAAGTAACATGCCCTTAACCAAATCAATAATTTACACCAAAACGTATGGAGCTATTTATTGTGAGCTTGAATTGCTTCCCAAACTCACAACCCTCACCATCTCCATCCAGTTTAGGGCATGGCAAAAACCAAATGACACTCCATCAAACTGATCCACATCATATCTTTCTGCGCAGATATTTTTGTGCAGGAATTTCAAATTTCCCCTCCCCAATCCGGCAATCCCCATTGTGAAAAAAATTCGTCGCCTGCGAAAATGATCTCCACGGTCAGTGTTCATCAAAGCTACAGCTTCTTTCCACAATGATGTTGTTATTTTCAGTGTATTCTAGTACTGTTTATAGTACAGACTTTAATAAAGTATTCTATGACCTATGGTCCTATGGCATGCACTGATATCCTGATTTCTGAGCAAGGCCCTTCTATACATTTTATCAACTAACACTATATACTGTACCTCTTTCATTATATAGTTACTTCCTGTATTTTCTCGTACGTAGTTTTAATATAAACAACACACTATGTTTTGCAAATATTTTCGCTCGACATTGACTTTAATACTGTATTTTTGACACAAAATAGACATTTTGACGTACTGCCAGCTACTGCCAAGCTCCTGCCAGCCATGTGGTTTTGACAATTTGATTTTTGACTAGACTTACATGAAGTTCCTCGCAGCGTGAAAAATTGCTGCTTGCCGCCTGCGCGCTTGCACGACACAATGTTGATGCCTGGTTGATGAGAACAAGCTTGAACGATATTTTGCTGCGCATATTCTTCCTGGTTGTTAACAATATTGTTCAGCCTATGGGCAGCAGCAAAATATTGTTCAGGCCTGTTTTCAACCATATTGTTGCAGGCTGGGTGTTTTTTGCAGTGTATAGTATAGCCTATTAGCCTCTATTAGGAAATTCCAGGCAATGCTTAGCCTGTGTCAAGGTGTGTGACACAGACTAGACAAAGCTAGGGTAGGCTTTTTTTATTAATCCGTGATAATACAAATCTTCGTGATAAATTAATCCAGACGAAAATGTTGTGAAAGTTTAGTAAGGAATGTGGTTGTACGTGTATTAAACCTGAGGTTTAACATGCATCAAACCAACCTTCACAACCTGTTTCACAAGGGTCTCTCACCTCCGTTGGAAGGAGCTGGGTTGGCAACAAACGTGGAAAGTGCGGTATCAGGAGTCTTGCCTTGGATTAACTTGCACCGTAATGTATCGATCAATTCGAAACTTCGCCATCCCCCCCCCCGGGCCGACCCCGGGAATTTGAACTTTTTGAAATTTGACTGATCAAATTCTCCACCCCCTGTGCAAAAAATGTCTTCAAATGCCCCACTGTAACAAGAAATTAAGCGTTCAAATGCCCACCTTCATATGAAAATTATGAAACAGTAAATACAAAAAGTACAAAATATACGGAAATGTTTTCGACAAGATAGCGAAATTCGCGTAAACAGTTTGGATACCTTGTGGAAATTTAACAGTTTTACACGTTATGTAGTACATACCTTCAAATGAAACACATAGATTTTCCATGCCCGTTTCTTTGAGCCAGTTTTTTCACAAAATTGAGGCCGTTTCCCTCGAAATCTGAGAAAACTGTATTTGCCGCCATTACGAAGTATTTTCTGTGCATGCAGGAAGCACGCGAAAACGGGCAACATTTTAAGACTTCCGGTTCAAATTCCCCACCCGTTATCAAATGCCCCACCCGTTATCAAATGCCCCACCCGTTATCAAATGCCCCACCACATGGAAGACTTAGAACGTCAAATTCCCTACTCCCTGGAGAAGACTTGAAGTCAAATTCCCGGGGTATGCCCGGGGGGGGGGGGATGGGGAAGTTTCGAATTGATCGATACATAACGCTAGTACAAGCTTCAGTATACTTCGTGCGTGTCTCAAGGGAAGAAATCATGCTTGAAGTGAAAACAAAGCTTTAATATAACGAGTCGATCCTCGTATTAGTTAACCTGCACCGTAGCACGAGAACGAACGAATATGCAGGTATGCAAATGTTTTTGGTCAAAAGCTGAAATCTGATTGGATTGCTTAATTAATCTCGTACGCATCGGACGAGTAAAGACGAGAGCGAACGAATATTCGTTAAGAGTTAATTTGCATGATCATGAGTCATGACATTTTTTTACAAATTGAAAAGCCCAAAGGGATTAAAAATATAAAGTTAAGTCAAGACATACATGTAGTTATTTGTGCTAAAAAAATGATACCATTGCAATAATACGCATATAGCATTGTTAAGAACTAAAAACTGAAGCATGGCTCCTAGACGAATCAGACGCAAAATAGTCCAGTTTGGGATATTGTTATAAATGACATCGCGCGAGATGAACGTTTTATGAACATGCCCGACAACGTGCATGCAGGAGCTGTATGCTAATACATCGTTTCTCTCAATGTCCAATGACATTGTCACTAGCTCATTGATCGACTCTTCCATTGATGCGTTAATTACTGGCAAATATATCACGGAGAATGCGTTGAAGACATTATTTAGCTGCTTAAAACGGATCAAACTGAGCTTTAGGACCAGTCCATTTGCATGGTTGTCCTTATACCATAATATAAAGTTCCGTGTATCATTGTGCAACTACTGTATGTTGTCATTATTGTGTAATACAAGCAGACGCCTATACTGCCTACTGGGAATACTCGAAACTTAGCTAGCTTGTTAAATTTATTTTCTAAACTCAAGTAACGACATGCATGAATTCCAATTGAACTCTTTCCCAAGGTCAAGAGGTTTTAACAACACCTACAGTATTACTTACTTAGTTATAGTGTTCTTGCCGATGCAGCTAGGGAAAAGCGAAGTCTGGTACTTGAATATTTTAGAGAATATGGAACAGTGTTTTGAATCGGAAATTAATAATTTGGCGTAGAATAGTTTAAAGCTGAACTTATACAAGTTATAGGCATGTTTCAAACGTTGGAACGCGGGAAACGCGACGAACGATTGCACTACAAGGTGCCCAAAAAAAAGTGACACTATAGAAATTATCCTATTGTTATAATTTGAATGCCCTAGCACTAAGTTGATCCTACAGGTGCATAAACTTCTGCTTCTGGAATTTAAAATAAAAAAGCAAACCGTTTATTAGTGTAATCGTTTTGCTTGACTCGGGCGTTAAAATATTTGGACAAAGCGAAAACGTTTTAAAATGCTTAAATGTAAATACAAGTTCATTAAATTCCCAGGCGTGTAATCACGCGCGTTTAAGAGCGGCTTAAGAACAATGAGATAATTTCTATAGTGTCACTTTTTTTTGGGACACCCTGTATAGGCCTGATTTGCATTAATTAAGTTATTCTGGAATTTTCACAGGCTGTCGCTTAGACGTATGCTGAAATGCACACAAGTGGATCTCTTGCTAACTTGTTTATAGCTTATAGTTTGTGTTCTGCGCCGCGGATAGATTGTATGTGCTGCTGTTTCCACAGCTAGCTGTAAACACTACTAAACAGCAATGACCATGCATGCAATGTATGTTATTTATTGATGGTATTACTCCCTGACACTGGCATCGCTGCCATCACGAATATAAACAACAAACGAAAGTTTACGAGTATTATGATGAGTTCATCTCATAGCCAATAGAAAATGTCTATCTTGCGAATGAGTACGACTCAGCCGTTCAGTTAATGAGGCTATTCGTTCGTTCTCGTGCTACGGTGCAGGTTAACTAATAACACGGACACCTTTCTAATACATACGATACGAACACGTACCGCTCTAATACAAATAAACCTTGAAATGAAATGAAATAAATGAAATAAAATAAATGAAATGTCGACAGGCACTCAATCTCATACAACAAAAAATAATACATGCATGATTGTTTTGGTTTGCGGAAACACCGCGTATATTTATTATTGCAAAG